TAAAGGCTCGAGATATTTCTGATTTTTATGAGGGCTTAGATCTTTATCTTGAAAAATATAATAATGAACGCCTTGACAGATCATGCTTCTACCTGTAAATATATACCATTCGCTCAGCCTATTGTTGAGATGCGACCATGTGGGATGTGCACAGATTTATGGGGCATCTTATAAATTAACATGCTATCCATTGTCGGATCTTTGAATACCACTTCACAAATTCTTATCTCATTCATTTTCCAATAACTTTGTCAATGTAGTTGAAGATTGAACGATCAATTCATGGTTGTTTGCTCAAAATCAACTTCCCCAATTTTCGCGGATGCATCAATCAGACAGTCATCGTCTCATCGGTAGCTGCTCAGAAAGAATATAGAAAAACTCTCAGAAACCTTAGTCTGTAATGACAATAATTATGGTTATATGTTGGTGGAAGAATAAAGAATTCTCGAGTCATCAATCTTTGCGTCCGGTAATACTGAGCGTTTCTTAAAATCTTCGAGGGAGAGCGTGAGGCCCAGCGTCGCAAGAGCTGCGCATTAATGGTTTATGAGATGTGAATGACAGCTTCTGACTGTTTGGATAGTCTCCGTTCGTCTATCCTGGTGCTGGCCAAGTCTTTTTGAACAAGCGTTATCAGAAACTTTTTGGAATATCTGTAACGTTCAATTATGCCTGGGTCAAAGAAAGGACAAAGAGTTTTGGAAGCAAGTAAAAAAGTAAATTATGCTAAGTTGTCTGTTACATTTAGTGACATGTATGATGCTCAGCATGATGAGTCTGATGTTCGCGTTTCGCCGTTTAGGGATTGTAAAGGTTCAAAACGAACCAAATCTGGGCGTCACTGTTTCGACGGAAACCCACCTGACTATCCACAGTTTATCGAAGAGTTTTAGATCATGTTGTGTGATTTCTTGTTAAATAATGAAATGAAGTTGATATATTTGATGAAGTATTGCACTGGAGTTGCTTCAAGAGCTATACAGTGCTGTATGTTTGTGCCCCCAAACGAAGGATATACTGAGGCGATGCATATCCTGCGTCAAAGATTCGGAAGACCTTCGATGATTGTAAAGAAATTATCCGAGGCTGTTAAGGGTAATGGTAGTAAATTACAAGATGACTCCAAGGCACTTTCTGAGTTTTTGGATAATCTATTGACTTACAAGAATGCATTGATTTCGATGAATTGCATGAGTGATCTGAACTCAAGTTCCGTCATAGAGGTGATAGCGAGACGCCTTCCTACTCGACTGCAAAGGAAGTGGGTCAAGATAAGCTCCCGTATAGAGGATGAAGGTATTGAGCCAAAGTTCGATGATATTCTGAAACTGGCAAAAGATAATGTTTATCAAGCTATGAGCAGGTTTGCCAGTCTATTGCATCTCACTCCTAGAATAGAGCAGTCTGAGGGCAAAACGCAATCATTGATGAAGAAAGGGTCTCAGAGAAGTGGATATCGAGAAAGCTCTATGGTGTCTAGTAATCCATATACACTTAGTGGGGGTAACAGCTTTCGTGGTACATCCTCAACAGATAGGTTACAGGCTGCGAGACAGACACGGTTGTGTTTTACACGCTTGCAAGAGGTGCATACAAAGGTGAAGTGTGAACCAGTGAGCAAGTTCAGTGATAAGCTAAATGTGAAATCAATGTCTGACTCCGAATTATGTGACGATAATGGTGCAGTGAAGAAGCCTGTAGTTGCAACCGGTAAGCCATTGTTGAATAGAGTGTTACAGACGACATCACAGTTCGTTCAGGAGAAGGGAGTTACAGTTTCAGAGGCTAGTTCTGACTCCACAAGTTTACAAGGAGTTACTTGTCAGAGTGAAGATATAAAACCTCTAAGGATTTGTGAGGAAGAACCCAAATCATCTACTGCTGTTGTCAAAGAGTTTGAAAATGATGAAGTCGACCAGATAGATGAGGGCAAAGTGAATATTTGTGACAATGATCATGATAGTGCACTTTCGTCTTTGGCTGATCATGATGGAACGAGCGGAATGCCCACTACTACTACTGAGTCGAACAAAGGTTCTGTACAACTTGAACGTGAAGTAGAATTAAGAGCAGATGTGGTTGCAGAAGGTATGGTTACTTGTGAGGCCGTCAGTGTAATTGATCAGCGTGTAGCCCACCTATCAACAGATGTTAATGCTAAACTGGAGCTAATAATAAAAGACAGCACTGGTGGTAATCTTGCAGTTAGACAAGCTTCTAAAGGCCGAACAAGAACAGCTTCTGATCCACCGCTAAGTTCATCAACTGGTATCAGTCAGTCGTCGTTGGTGTTGTCATCCACAATGAAACAGACGCCCATCAACTCACGTGCCTTATGCAATGACTATGATAGTATGGGTGCATTTGAAAAGACGAAAGATATTGCTCCGTTTAATGAGGATAAGCCAAGTGTGTATGAGAGGGTAATTGTTAAACTGACTTGCACGAATAAAGGCATTTCAAGTTTCAAATTACTATTTGAATGTTATTATCTTCGGTGTAAATTACTCTGTGCCCACGCTTGGTTGACCAGATACGTCGTGTGTTTGTTCGTCATCTATATTCTACGATACAACGACATGGGCGTGTTGCCGTTCAGAGTTGAGGATATAGACGATAGAAGGAGGTCATTAAATGAACTCTGCGACGATTTTCCAACCTAGTGCGTCAACCTGAGAAGGGTTGTAGGCGTACTGCTGTAAGTCCTACAATTCTTCAAAGGGTAGCGCATCAATGAGCAGCCCAACGTTCTGAGAGGGTTATTTTGTAGATATCTTCATGTTGTATGTACTGAATTGGTATCATCTTTCATCTATCTGTTGGTTAATAAAATTTGTGTTCGGAGCTTTCTCCTCTTGAGGGTCAACCTGAGAAGGAATGTAGGCGTACTGGTGTATGTCCTACAGTTCTTCAAGTGTCGTTAATCAAGCCAGAATCCTCAATATTTCGTGTATTGTTTGCATAATTTTTTGTGTGATGTTATTGTGTGGGTTCAAATCAGTGTATTTATTTTGGGACAGCGTGAGGTGCAGCGTAGTAAGAGCTGGACTTTGACAGTTTATGAGGCTTTGCTTTCCATAACAGATGTCGGAACATAAGTTAGCTAACTGATACAATTAGAAGTGGTTTGACAAATATCTATGAAATCTGCTGAAGGCACCCGTATTCACAACATCTTTCTGGGAGTCTAAATTAACACCAAAAGACATGCTTCAATTTTAGCATGTTGCGGTTGTAATTTTGTACCTGAGATTATTCAAAGACAGACATCGTGAGCGAGATGGATTTTCCGACTTCGGAGTTGATGGAATCTAATAGGCTAGCTTTTCATCAGAATTTCATGTTGGCGATGATTCAATTATACTGCTAAGTTGTGGATACGATACGGACACAGATGACTTGTCACTTCCCTGATACGGGGAGTCCTGTGGAATCACTGGGCAACAAGTGTATACATTTTACAAAAAGAGGTGAAATATGGTTTGGCTAATTCATTCAAAACCCTTGTGTGTAGAAAATGACCCGACAGACAGTGGGTACACTCTGCTTTCCTAATAGACTAGCAGAAGCACTGGCCGATAATCTGAGAAAAACGTAACGTAATCAAAGTGTATTGTTGCTAAACCAGTCGCCCAAAAGAAGTAAGAGGTAATTTGTGGCTTGGAAACTATTTTTCCACTGTTTTGATTGCGCTAAATTAAAATCCCATACAAACGTTTTTGTTTATTGTGTCACCTCATTCAAAAAAAGGTGTAATTTAACTGATTTGTTTCCTGTACAGGATCTGAAATATTACATAATTCGCGTGGGGATAGTGGGAATCGTTCAAAAAGTACTCACTCAATTGTAAGAAAAGTTGGTTGGTCTTAGTTAAATATACATTATAATACTTCACCTATTGGTCGCAGAAAATACTGCAGAGACCATATTTAGATGTCTCCACTAATGTACTGTGCTGAGCGGAGTTACAGAAGTCATGGGAAAAGTTTCTCTGCTCTGCGCTGCGTCAAAATCCAGAACCGTTCCGGAACAAGCAAGCGCCAACGAAACACTACTGTCAGTTCACACCTCGGATTCTACTATTATGTTTTGCTCACCATATTGTGAGAGTGTGATGGGTATTTAGTAATTTCGCATAAAGGTTGTAGCATTTAATTCTCCTGCTGATAATCTCTAGGCAACACTAGTCTCCTACGGCAGTACGGGGCGTGTGGGTGAATATAAAATATTGGATCCGTATTATGCCCGGAAAGGACAGCCAACTTACTTTCCTCTGCAACAGATCCTTGAAGACCACAGGATAATTGACAATAATGATTTGTATGAAAGCTTCTGAAAACTAATTGTGGCCTAGATTTTGTTTTCCGAGGGATTTCAGGTCCTCGCGGGCAATTCACAGAGCCTTTACGGGAATCACCAGAGATATGTTGACCTCCTTATATACATCTTTGGTGAGATTAAGATTGGAAAACTGCTTCCAGACCGCCAATCCTTGTCTAAAAGGGGACTCACACATTCTGGAAAGGGTTCAAAGGAAGGCGACACGTATGGTTCACGGCATAGCTAACTTATCATACGAGGAAAGACTAGAAAGTTTAAATCTCTTCTCCCTATCATAAGTAGGCAGAGAGGAGATTTAATCACGTTTAAAATTTTAAATAATGACTACGGTTCTGACCTATTCTCCTTTCCTTCCCACCAGGTCGGAAAACCTTAGAGGACATAGCAGGAGAGTTCAAAAGCCAAGAAGAAATCATATTGCTATTGAGTACTGGTTCTCACATCGAGTCATGAACCGACTCCCAGAAGAAGTGGTGTCTGCAACCTCAACTAATTCGTTCAAGAAGGGTTTGGAAAACCACATAGATTTACTATAAAAAGGATTAATATAGGCTCCAAGCCCCGTATCCTCAACCAATATATCTGAAATCAGAATCTGAAATTTGTTTGAACGAGCACGATTATTTGTTGGGCGGGAATTAGGGGTCTACGTCATAATGTCTAAGACTACTTATAAAATCTATGTTGGAAACCTTCCTCCAGACACTAAGGCTCGTGATGTTGAGAACCTCTTCTCAAAATATGGGCCGATTGCAGCTGTCGACCTAAAGGCTGGACAAAGACGTGGTCCACCATTTGCATTTGTTGAATTCGAGGATGAACTGTACGCTTTATTTGCTAATAATTATTTTTGATAGCGATGCGTCAGATGCAGTTCGTGGACGAGATGGATACAACTTTGACGGATATGCATTGCGAGTAGAACTGCCACGCACAACAGGTTACAACAACGGGGGCGGTCAAAACTACAACCAATTTCGTAGAGGAGGCTTTAATCGGGGTGGTGGCAGCGGACCTTCTCGACGGTCAGATTTCCGAGTGATTGTGACAGGTTTGCCGCCTACTGGAAGTTGGCAGGATCTCAAGGATCACATGCGCGAAGCTGGTGATGTTGGCTATGCAGACGTGTTCCGCGACGGCACTGGTGTCGTTGAATTTCTAAGATACGAAGATATGAAATATGCAATTAAACGTCTTGACGACTCTAAGTTCCGTTCTCACGAGGTATGTCTATTTCATAGGTGATTTGATTCTGTAGGGTGAATCTTCATACATCCGCGTTCGCGAAGAAAGACCTGGTGGGTCGCGTTCTAGATCACGTTCCTTTGATTCACCACGCAGGGGTCGTTCCTACGATTCCTGTTCCAGATCAATAAGCCCTCGACGCTGAAAACAAACAAATGTGAAAGTTTGTACGTAATTGAAATTTAATGTTACGGCTCTTCTACTCACAACTACAGTATCTCAATACAGTTTTCTTGCTTTTAAAGGTTTTCTGGATGATGGACGAAGGAAAGGATTGTCTATGAGGAAGGGACTGAAGATTAGTTATGGGACCGAAGAATGTACCCAAAGCACTTCAAGGGATAGGAGCACTGAAGTGTACTGCCCCACAGCAGTGGATTGGTGGATGCATCACCCAGAGGACTAACAGGAGGATGTCATAATTCTGTTGTTCTGGATTGCAAAGGACTTAAGCGCCCGTGGATTCCTAGTTGGCAGTGGCATCAGAGGACACTTAATTGATCATTAGGACCTTAGTGTTGGAGGAGACTTGGATTCATCTAAGGATGCATTTTGGATTTACTTGTGGATGTTTGCAACCGGATAGCTGCAAGTAGGTCTCAGTCCAGAATGCGAGGAATCCATTAATCCTGTAAGTTATTTGTGTATGAATGCATACAGTAATGAAGATAAGGTCATTTCAAATTTTACCAGTTTGATGTACAGGGATATCTTTCATCCACTGAACGTGTTGGCTCCTCCATTGACCTCAGAAGTGCTGGCGGATCTACTCAAGGACTTTTCGGATGCCGGATTTAAGTACTCTGCCAACATAAGTAACTGCCTCAACACTTCAGTGGCAAAAAACTGCTGGAGTTTTCTCGTTTAAGTAGTCAAGCAGATAATTGTCTGATGTAGATTTTATTTATGGAATTAGGATTTCATTTGCTGTAAAATAAATTCACTCGTGTTAATGTGAACTGTTGGCTTTTTGAAGTTTGTTTCGGTAACTTAAGGTTAATGTATATTCAATATATCACCAGTGTTAGATTTAGGAGCTTTTGCGATATTAAATGATGATTGATATATTTTCTTGTTGAAAGCCACCCAGTGTCATTTGGAACATTTTCCTGATGTTCTTGAATATGTTCCCATAGATAACGATGCTTTTGAGGCGAACTTCGCCTCTGTCACAATTGCGTCTGTGCAATTTTCTTGTCAATTAGATCGTTGCAGGTAGCCATACAGAGATTTCAAAGCAATAGGTTAGATATTGCTCAGCGTTATTTGCATATTTTGACGGAATTGTAGCGATGGGACAGCGTACGAGTAGAATGTAGTTGGGTTAGAAATTCCAGCTGTCCAATAAACATGTTGGAAGTTGCACTGTCTTCATGGGATAAGGTTATGGCCCGTAATTGCACTGTTAGATGACATCAACCTGCTCAAAGTTTGTTATTGACAGTAATTGTTGCATACTTTGGCGTCGTGTTCGTTTAATTCCAAATTGTTTAGTGTAGTACAATGCAGTTATAAGGATGATGCATCTATAGCAATATGTGTCACTAGGGCAGTTTTATAGTGACTTGAAGCATGATATCCTAGATGCCTATTTCGCAGGTAGTTTAAACCGAATCAGGTGGTTCAAAAGACTAGTGAAATGCACTTTGTTACGTACGGCAAGTTTAAGGTGCCAGGATAAGCAATAGGCTGGTATGTTAAGTGGGAAACAAATATTCCTTATTTTTAAGTATTGGTTTGTTGTAGAGATTTTGTTTGATTGCATGGAGAATTTGATCATGAGCTGACATCAGTTAGAGAACCACTGGGAAACCTGGGAGTACTGGACAGCTGTTTCGTCCTAGTTTGGGACTCCTCAGCAGTACGCACCCACCGGGATTCGAACTCAGGACCTTCTGGTTACAAGGCGAGCTCGTAGACCATTGAGCCACTGGGACCCGATCCAATGGTCCTTGAATTCTAACTTCTGCCAGTTCACGACATAGCGCGACCACTTCGCAATGTCTTCTTCGATGAGTTACTGCCTCATCTTCAACCTGCTGTACCCTACTGGTCACGGCTTCCCACTAGAACCCCAGGTTAACTGCCTGAATAGGGCCAGTCACTAGTGAGCATCAGATGAATTTTTAAGTATTGGTTTGTTGTAGAGATTTTGTTTGATTGCATGGAGAATTTGATCATGAGCTGACATCAGCCGTGACCAGTAGGGTACAGCAGGTTGAAGATGAGGCAGTAACTCATCGAAGAAGACATTGCGAAGTGGTCGCGCTATGTCGTGAACTGGCAGAAGTTAGAATTCAAGGACCATTGGATCGGGTCCCAGTGGCTCAATGGTCTACGAGCTCGCCTTGTAACCAGAAGGTCCTGGGTTCGAATCCCGGTGGGTGCGTACTGCTGAGGAGTCCCAAACTAGGACGAAACAGCTGTCCAGTACTCCCAGGTATTCCTTATTTATTCAAAAAGGGGTAATAAGGATGTTATCGAGATGTTTCTTAAAGTAAGGTCAGGTGTGATGGAACACAAGTTGAATGCTGTTTTGATGTGTATCCCACCGTCTACAAGATACGTCTCTGACTGAAGTAGACCCGGTCGATGGAAACTGTACGTTTTGGTCGTTAGTGCTGCAGATGTCTATCATCGCCTATGGTAGTAAATACCTCCTGGGAGGAATTTAGGAACAACTTTTGCATATCACAAGTCGGGCTTAGATTATTTAAAACATCTGTCTGTCAAACTACTGGGGTCATTGTAGTATACAGTTTGGTTTTCGTAATATCCAGGAGATAACTTTCGATATTGATACGTAGGTCAGTGAAATTACAGGTTCTTACCTTAAAATCATGGTGGTAAGAAGCAGCACTCCTTGATCCCTGTGACTAGATTGTATGCGCCGACAGTCCTACTAGACTGGCACCAAAGGTCAGTCACCATACTTCATTAATATAACAGTGATTTCTGTTAGGTTTCGGTCAACAAGATTTTTAATCAAAGAGGTTTCTTTTTGAATTATACAAACCAAAAGGCAGGTTTGTTGGTCGAGTCCCAATATGTCTATACCCTCTGACTGTCAATCTAAATTTATTATAGGAGAATGTACATGATTGCGCGTAGGTAGTCTGGACTTTGTGATATGTATGAAGGAGCTCTCTTTGATTAGATAACAGTCTAACCACACTTCCAGAATAGTTGTAGTGTGGATTTTCTACATGATACTGACATATAGACAGATAAACAGTGGATAATCCTTTTATGGTCAAGGTCAATCGGGAGGTAAACCATGGATGCATACATCCCTTTGAGGTCATCTGTCGAGCCTACCTCATCGACCATATATGTATACATGCACGTTTCTTTGTTCCCTTTTGTAGCTGAGTATAGAGTATACTTTTTACCTCACATCGTTGTGTTCTTGTTTAAATAATGGGGGCTGGTAAAATAGGTAACCGTGAGAAATTGCTGCATCGTAACAGATCCGTGTCTGCATTTAGGTGTGCAAAGCAGTTATCATACAATACAGATGCATGTTAATTTTTCATGATTTAATGAGTTCGTACTTTCATTCCTATCTAAGGTCTGTCGCCGTTAACTTTGACAGTGCGTTACTGTAGAAAGTGTTTTGTGAATGTCTACCTCATTTCTCAAGGCATTCTTTTTGGATTCATGTAGCTGTGGGAGAGTTTAATGATAGATATCATCTGAATTGAGAGTACCTATCAGTATGAATAAAAGGCGTCGTCTGACATTGATCAACTTGCAAGTGTGATATTCAACTACCTATTGGTGTGTAGGCTAGTATTTTACAGTAGTTTTCTGCTTTCTATCTCGTGCTGTGGTCATTGATTATGAAGATATGTAAATAGGGGAAGTCAACCAGTGATATCGTGAAGTTGATTTGGTTGAGATGTCGCCTTCGACTGTCGACATGAGTCATTGTGAGAGTGACTGCATACTTATGATTCAAAACCTGTAACCTTACCTTCCAGCGGCCATTTTTCACAGCCTTAAATTAGGGGAGAGTAGACCGCTATGCAGCACACTCGCAATTTAATAGACAACCAGACATAGGTTGGCAATTACCGAAGAAACCTTTAACAGTGTTTTGTCTTCGTAAACGAGTCCATTAATTTTTACGGAACTCAGACGAGAGAATCGATTAGAGCATTCCTGAACTGGGATGTTGCGCTAACCACTCTTGCATCATCCTACATTTGATAAGTGCGGATCACATTGAGATTTTCACCCAAGGAGTTAAGAAAACTATCTCCAAACGGAAGGAGTATATCATTTGTGTATTTATAGAGACTCGCTTCATAGTTGAAAATTACTATGGCACCTCTCGATAAACGACTTCAGTTGCGGGGTTTCACGTTTTCGTATTATTAAGGATGCTAGCATATTCATCTAGTCAAATCGATTTGTATGTTTACCAGAAGATCTGCCCCCTCATAAAACAGTCTGAGGCGACCGCTTCACATTTTGTACGCCAGCTAGGGCCCTAATTCAGTTTCTAGTCAAACCATCAGCTCCTGCTATTACGCTCATCTCCGATTATAAATGGCAGTCCAAGCCAGATTTGTAGATTAGATGTTCAGACTGCATACCGGCTGAAATCTTACAGTAGTCAAACGCAGTTGATCTTTAGCTAACCGTGAAAGTATTCTGCTCAATCTCTTATGTAACACTCTTGAGATACCATCAATGTTCCGATTGTCTCAGGAGTCGTTCCCACTAATATAGATTTTTAAGACCCATTTCCTTTAAAATATCAAACTAATCTCATTTAATCGGGACACGGAAATGCCACAGTTTATCACTGTTGGAAGTAGACAGCAATGGATTTCCGTTCTATCTAGGGCATGTACTGTGACACACCACGTGTGTGCATACACATTTGAGTTAGTAAATACTACAAAGTCGTAGATGAGATGTCTTTACGAATTTAAACCCTACAGCAGTTTTAACTGATTGTGTAGAAACACGAACAACTGTTGTGGTAACTTCCATTACTGATGAGATGGAATTTCAGGCCAGTGATAATGTTAGGAAATCTCCAAGTAATTACTCTTTCTTTGTTTATTACCAAGTCCTGGCCTGAGTATAGCACCAACAGATTTCGAAACCGCGGCGGCACTGTGTAGAGAAACA